GAAGACACGACAAGAAAAAGAAAAAATTTGGCAGTGGGAAATGAGAAAAACTTAAACAACGGCCACTAGCCCTAAAAAAACTTAGAAGCATCTGCTAAATAAATACAAAGTAATTAAACATGTAACATTAACAGATACCATAATAGCAAGGAAAGATCTCTTACGGTGGAAAGCAATGCAATGTCGAAGAAACAATCATTGTGGCTAGAAACAAAATGAATTGCTGGCAGAAGTTGACCTTGTAATAGAAGACCTGAAAATTTAGCAGAATCAACAACTCATCGCTAAAAGGTTAAATAAATAAACTCAAATGCTAAAAAAAAAATATAAAGGAGGTGGTACGTGCAGATAAGTTTAAGCAACAGAAAATATATTCAAACACCATTGAACCAGTGATCAACCAGTGGCTCAAGCGGCACGTAGTACACACATAGTAGTAATATTCACAACCTTCAGTGGACACACAAACATATGCGTGGATAACTTTGAAGTTGGATTACAAGCAAGATAATGATACGAAATCCGCAACATAAATTGTGACAACATATGAACACTGAATCCTGGTAAGCAATATGAAGCATAGACGACCCTGCCCTCTGTGTGATTAGTAACTACTTATGGAGCAACAAGATCTGAATAAGAATATTACCTGTCAGGCTGAGAACACAAGAACAGAAAGTGGTGTAAAATATTTGATTGTGTATCTCCATATCATAGCCCTTAAATAGCTTATCTTGGAATGTGCTTGTAAATCCATCAAACCTATCAGACAAAGAAAGGAGCATCTTAAATCTATAAATTTTTGGCTCCAAGTATCTTGTTTCAAATATTCTCAATGTCATTGATTTTTTTTATTGGTCAAATTCTCAGTGTTATTACTATACGCTGTAAAAAGTAAAGAAAAGAAAAATAGACAAAAGCAAAATCATCCACACTGCCAGTGCTGCACTCATAATCAATTGCAAGGAGGCAAACTTTAAACTACTAGTTTTGTTATGGTTTGCTTCTGTAAGGGAGCGTTAATTCATTGTAAATTATTGTTACCCTAGCAACTAAGCATCAAGACATGGAGATAAAGTTTGATGGCACATTTTTAGTAAAATAGGCATATATTAATATTTTTGAATTGGTAGAAGTGGATTTAGTCTGTTCATCTCAGCAGCTAGCAACAAATTCTTTTTTGACAAATCATAACCATCTAATAAACAGAGGGTTCACGTTAATACCCAAGATAACCAACCATAAGGGAAATGCCCCAAATGGTATTTTCTCTTCCTCTACCGTATATATCAGATGGACCAATGTCAGCAGATCCTGCCTACATTCAAAAGCACAAACAATTAGTTCTATTTAAATCAAAGAACATTTTTCTCATTAGAATCATCACCAGCTCACAAAACAGCCACATACATGAACATATATGGAATTTTCTCTAATTAATTAGACCATTTTCAGAAAACAAGCAAGGGAGTATTCATTAATATCTCGTTGCTAAACAATAGAATTTCAGGGATACTAAGCGCACTCTATTTACTTTCAAATTCGCTCACAGAGTACGTATATAAGATACTCAAGTGTGGTAAGGCAAAGGTACATGGCACTGTGATCATACTAAGATATGACGAAGCTAGCATGTAAACAGCAGTCACCCAACTGATTGTAATAAACAACCTGAACTGGAATGAATCTTTGGCTTTGAAACTGAGAGGTGGTAATTCTGGGAGTTCTATGGCCAACTATGAAACTAAATAGGAAACATCTTCAACTAACAAATATTTCATTCCTACAATAGTATCACCGAGCACCATACAGCAGCCATTGTACAAGAAACATGGGAGGCATAAGAGTACTTATATGTATTCTAGTTTTGCAAGAGATTCCACATAGAAAAGAAAGGAAATGGAAATTTATAGACATGGATGCAAAGTGGTAGCATGCTGGCATTGGTTGCAAGTTCCTAATGTACCGTCATCCGTATGTGCATGGCTGAAAGGGAAATCTAAAGAAACTTGCAGCATGAATCAGAGACCATGGTCACTTACGAGTATTACAAAAAAGTGGCATGCTAACAATTAAGACCACTTTTCAAAACAATCCTTTGTATGTGCACACCTCAGTGGAAAATTTTAAAGAATTCGACAGGGAATCAAACCATACCGGATATAGAATGAATATTGAACAGCCCACTGTCACTAGAAATGCCAAAAAATAGTCCGGTCCCCTATATTTCTTTTGCATAATGATAGTGCCCCAAACCTGCATAAACAATAACCGCATGAATTGGCAAACCAAAGAACACAAGATCCTATGTCCCTCATGAAAAAGATACTGAAGTTTCTCAATTAGTCTCTTCACTATTAGGTCACACCTCAAGCCCAACTTCCACACGTTCAACCATTTGGAGCTCACTGATCAATCAAGCATGTTTAGACGTTGAGAAAAACTTGTCACTCGTGCAAGTTTACCCATTTTTTCTTATCCAGCACACTAGATAAGTTGAATGCTCCAAGCATTTTTTATAGTTTGAAACTTCAAATTCGAACAACATGTTACTCAGCTTGACAATAAATCATGACAAAAATTAACCAAACAGATAAAACTACTCAGAAATAGTACAATGAAGCACCATAACTGATCAAACTGTATTTTCTTACCATCACAGGTATCATCTTGGCGCATTTCGCAAGAGTTTGAACCGGAAAGCTGACATATTTGAGAGCCTGCGGCCACCGAAATGTACGAAATCAATCAAAAACTATATAAAAAAAAATTACACATTCTGCAAAAAAATTAAAGACCGCAGCTCTCACCTCATATTGACATGTAGTCGTTAGTATGTTCGAAATCGATACAAGGCAGTACTTGTGAACCGGAGCGACGGGATCCAGAGCCTTCTTTCTCGCCAACAAAGCACCGGCGGAGACCGCCGACGTCATGATGCGGTTGCAGAAGACGAGGAAAAGCGAGTACTTGAAAAACGCCTTGTCGTCGCCGTACGGCACTCTCATGATCTTCTCCTGCAAGAAATCGAAGCAAAAGATTCAACATTTCCGCCACGAAAACGGAGGTCGATCCGAAGGATAAGAGAAATGCGAGGGAATTAGGAACCTGGAGAACGCCGTAGGTGACGAGCGTGGTCATGATTCCGGCCACCGCGAAAACCCCTTTCCACAGCTTGCTCGGCTGCGGAGCGCCCGGCAACGGCGTCGTTTCGGCCATAGCACGATGGGGAAGAGTGTAGCTGAGTGGAGTTCGCCTGGGAGCTTGTGTCGAATACGGTGCCGTTAGGTCGCCGGATAAATGGCGCGGGGCCCGAGAGTTGGGATCAAATAGAGTAGGGAGAGAGCTAGGGGGACACGTGGCGCATTTAGCAGCAGCGGCGACCAGCGCATCGGAATTGCCGGCGGCGATTTCTCTGTAATGTGTGTTGTGTGGAAGACTGTTGTTTCCCAGGCTTTTGAAAAGTGTGGACACGTCAGCAGCCTCTCCCTCGCTCAGGTTCCCAAGACTGGAAAATTCTGACAATGTTTATTCTTCTACAGTACAAGATCGACCGTTGATTTGGTCAAATAATAATTTTGAAGAGTTTTTATTTTTATTTTTTAACAAGTGATATTATATACCCTAAAAGGAAATTGTGGGTTTATACTAGAAATAATATTGTTCAAATTCGTCGTCGACGAAAATTGAATTTAAAATCTTTCATTTATAAATTAAAAGTAATATCACTAAATCGTAGTATTAAATAATAATTTTGAAGAGTTTAATAACTAAACTATAATTATTTTTCTAGAACAAGATTATAATTTGTTTAAGTCCAATCCAACTGACACTATCGCTTTCTTTTTTTCTACTTTGTCGTCAAACTAACCTAAAAATCTTACATAAATAATGTACAAATTTATTAAGTTTTGGATAACTCCTCTGAGTGCAAAAGAGCCAGACCACCTGTAAAATTAGGAAAAAAATAATTTAACATTTTCAGAGGTCATGAAGAGGCATTGCTTTAGGCCACAAACTTCAAGCCTACAATCTGCAGGGCCAAGGCCATGACACAGTCCATGCCAATGGAGAACTCGGACTAGCGGTTGATTTTCGTGAATATGGGATCGGTGCCCAAGTCAGGCATACAAATTCTTATATTGTCAGACTATCAATCTAGAATGCATATTTACAATCGGTTATAAGAATATTTTTATGGACGTGTATATGAAGTGCGACTTACAAACTATTGTTTAAATAATTTTGGACAGATTTTGAGAAACAGAGGGGCCGAACGATGAGTACAATGACAAACAACCCGGCAAAGTTCACCGATCCAAAGGGACACGAGGCCGTGGTCGGGACTCGGGAGGGTTCCGGTTTTGACACCAATTACAGAGGAAGACAAGACCTACTTGGAAACAAAAGGAACAAAGATAGGACATAAAGTAAACTGTTTATTGTGGCTCGTAAGTTTAGATATGTTTATATCCTCTTCAGATCTTTTTGGTGAGGATCCTAAAGATTCATGAATAATGCTTGTTTATTATATATCGTGCGGTAAGTTTTTGTCAAGTACTGTTTATATTTATTTTTAAATAAAAATATTTAAAAAATAATTTCTGACCGCACGATATATAATGAACGAACTTGATTCATAAATTTCCGGAATTCTCACAAAAAGAATTCAACGAGGATCCGAACTCTGTTTATATAACAACAGAAAACGTATTTGATGCTGTTTGACAAAAAAATTTAAAAATATACTGCTGAGCCCATAAAAGCCGTTCTCGTACTTGGCTAGAGAAAGCACTTGACTTTGAATAAAAATTTCAACGCTTTTCTAACAAAAGTGCTTTTTTGAGAAACCGTAAACGGGCCCTGATTCTCAGACAATGCTACATCAAATCTTACAATTGGACTTCGGCCTGAGTTTTCAAGTCGGGTCCACATTCCCGCGAGAAAGCCCACATGCTCATGCGGGTAAATCAAATAACATACATGGACATTTATGTAATTTCGAGTACTCTCTATATAACCCCTGCCTCCTCCTCCACCGTAAACCCTACTGGTTCAGCTTCACGCCGGCAGGTCTCTCTCTCGCTCTCTTCAGACACACGCTTTTGATAACTGAGAAAGTATTGAAATTTACGTGCTGTATCTGTGTGTCCTTTTAGGGTTTCCAGGTGGTGATTTGGGAATATAACCAGAGCTTCTTCGTCGGCATCAATGGCTCCACCTAAAGGTACTGGCCCTTCATTCTCATTATCTTGTCGTGCTTCAATTTTTTTTCCTATGTTACTGTTTGGTTGCTGAGAAAATGGTGGAAAGTCTAGTTATTGTATCAAAATCTCGATGTATTTTATTTCTCTTGACATGATTCTTAGTATTAGTTAGTGAAAAATGAATTCAAATTAACCAAATTGTCGTCGGAAGTGGATCTATTGGGTTCTTGTTGGTATGGAAACTAAGATTGTATGCCGCATTTTCTGAGAAACCAAATGGGTTAGATTGTTCTATGTTTGTGCAAACCCTTAATTTCTTTTTTTAACCCTTAATCATTGTGTGAGTTCTCGTTGTTCTAAGAACAACTTTATACGTTCCTAAATTAATGGCTGCTGTGAAATTTGAGGAATCGGCTAAACAAAAGAAATCTTCGCCATCATATGCAGTTTACCGCTACATGTTTTCCTTTCCTATTTACATCGCAGTCATTAACTGCACATGAATGTATCAATGATTAAGTGCTTATGAGTTGTGGAGTTTTTTTTTTATAGATAGGAATGAAACCTGTTACACTTGGTTCCATGGGTCTCTGTTAGAATTCGAATGTTTAGCCAATTGAATGCAAAATTTGGAGTCTAGTTTTGTTAAGTTTCGTGTGCACGGTGTAGTCAGACTCTAAGGGTATCAAGGGAATTGGAAGATAAAATTTATAAGCTAATAGTCAATTGGATTTGAACATCTTAAGTGTGGGTTTTAATTATGACTCGTCTGCTAGCATTCTAGGTTAAGGGTTAACAGAATTATAGGTCAATGCCTGTTAACGTTAGCTTGTACTTGCAAATTTTCATCGCTCCTTCCAGTAGATATTGACAAGATGTAATTAGCTCTGCAATTGCTTGGCTTTTGTTTAATCAGTAACCGTAGGTGATGCAAATTCATTTTCCACTCTTAATTCCCCATACTCACTGGCGTTTAGTACGTTCTTTCACATAAATAACCCTACGACTTTCCCCTCTCCAATGAGCTACGAGAAAATTTATATGGATAAAATTTTAAATAGATTCTCTCTGACCTGTGCATATCTTTTGAAGCTAATGTTTCAAAAAAGGCTGACCCAAAGTCACAAGCCGTGAAGGCTGCAAGGGCTTTGAAATCTGGCCCTGCTGTTAAAAAAGTTAAGAAGATCAGAACCTCAGTTACATTTCACCGGCCTAGGACATTGAAAAAGGAGAGGAACCCTAAGTACCCTCGTATTAGTGCTACACCGAGGAACAAGCTTGATCATTATCAAATATTGAAATATCCTCTTACCACTGAGTCTGCAATGAAGAAGATTGAAGATAACAACACTTTGGTCTTTATTGTTGACATACGTGCTGACAAGAAGAAAATCAAGGATGCAGTCAAGAAGATGTACGACATTCAGACCAAGAAAGTGAATACCCTGATCAGGTTAGTAAATTGCAATTTCGACATTAGAATACTGCCTAAAGAAGAACAACGGATGTTTTTTTTTCAAAATTTTACAAAGATGACTTGATTATGTAAACGGACCTCCTTCAAGAATAATTGTGTATGTGCTCTTTTACTTCGGTCAAGATGTTAGTTTAATGCATTTTTTGCAAGTTTTAATATTTGATGCATGAGCTGTCCCCTGTGACTTTGTCCAAATTGCTTTATTTTTCGAAGGTTTATGAGGCATGAGATATGTAGCTCATGATTTGATCTGAGTACCTTGGTGTGGACACACTTCCTTAAATGTGTACAATTATGACAGGTTACTAGTGGTGAACGGAGAAAAATAATGAGCATTTTTTTTTTCAATGGGTATATAGTTTCAATTTTGTAATAATTTTGGCATCGTAGTTCAGTAAGATTACTGGCTTGTGATCCATACTTGTTTCTGTGCGTCTTCATAGGATGATCTGATAATCTGAATATTTTATTGATCCAGGCCCGATGGTACCAAAAAGGCTTATGTTAGGCTAACCCCTGACTACGATGCTTTGGATGTTGCAAACAAAATCGGTATCATCTAAGTTCATGGCAAAGCCTTGCAAAGAGGGGAGTTCTGTGAGTTTGCGGTGGCTCTGTTTTAGTTTTGAAGTTGCAACACCTTGTAGGCGTGAAAGGTTAATCTATTTTGGAACATTATTTATGTTTTCATATGCGACGACGTTTTTACATATTAAGGAATGGTTAATAACTAAATGTGTTATGAATCCGGCCGTTCATTGTAAGTGTGTTCATATAATGGCGGTATGGCTGACCGTGTTGCATAGTGAGAATCGCTACCGGCTGCATTTCAAAGTCTTGCAATCGTTAAATTACCGTCATGTTTGTAGGGAGACTAGGTAAGTACTGGGAACAGGGTTCCTGGGTTGTTGCTTGAAACACAAGTTTCATTTGCAAGCTCCAATTAAAGCAAGCTTCAAGTTATTAATCGGATATTAATGTGGATTCTTGTTTGAATGAGTGGTTCTCTTTGAAGTTTGATAACATAACATGTACGACAATGCTGAAAAAAAAAAAAAATATATATATATAGAGTGTGTGTGTGTGTGTGTGTGTGGGGCAAGCAAATGCTTCAGTTTGGGTTCTACAGCTTCGATCTTTTGCCGGAAACAGTTGAAGGTCAAATGCCGAGTAGTATTTTTTTTCTATAAACCTAAACCCTTTCGCCGGTCCCGGTTCTACAGCTTTGTCTTGAGCATCTACGAAAGTAATTGTTTCTCTAATCCTCTTGAATTGGACCAAAAAAAAAAAAAAATCAATGAGCATATCTTGCTTCACATCGTGGCGGATTGCAGCATTTCGAAATGCGTCGAACTTTCTTCGATTTCATCTCGGCTCAATGTTTCTTCTGGAGTTTGCGTAGGAAGAGGAGAATCATGCATCAGATCATGGACCTGTGATCGGCATATGGGACAGTTTGAGTGAGACACAAACCAAGTGTTTATGCAAGCAATGTGGAATCCATGGGAGCATTTCGGTAGTTCTTTTATCCATTCCCCGTCTTCGAACTCCCCCAAGCAGATTGCGCAGTCTGTGTAGCTCTGGGCGGGGCTCTGTTCGGCATCCTCAGCTTCATCTTTCTTCTTGAACTGAGTCACGGGAAGAGACCGAGCAACCGAGAAGTCCAGTCCGTTGCTCTGAGACTCGAGCCTGGCATCGTCTAGGTTGAACTCGTTCAGTACAGGCCTTAGGTTCGGGTTTCTCGACCAGCCCGTGCTCTGAAGTCGTCTACAGAGGCGTTGGAGTATCTTGTAGTAAGTGAAGAGGAGGGTGAAGGTGGAAATAATAGCAACAGAAGCTACGATCCATGAAGACATACTAATCTAACTTAAAGTTGTGTAATTAGAGACTAATTACCAAAATGTTTTTCCAAAAGGGCTTTGTATTAGGCTGCGTTGCTGATTAAATAGGGGTGATTAGCAAACAAAAACTGTTTAATTAATGATATTAAAACGATTAAATCAATGAAAACAAACATATGTGGACATATTTGAAGGTTGACGTGAGGATCTCAAGGATTTCAAAATTGTAAGAGCTGCTTAAATGTTTGTTTTGCTGTAGATAATATCAAAGTTGGAGGGAAGTTTCACACGAGAACTAGATAACAGGTTTGTACACCTTTCGCTCGTCGCATGTTGATGGATAGTTTTATTTTCTACCCCATTCCTCCAAATTGCAAGAGGATTTGGTTTCCACCATTAGTTGGTGACAAGCATTACAAGAAAAACTTGTGTAAGACCGTCTGAATCACATTATTTGTAGAACAATTCTCACAAAAGCATGAAATTCTCTGTGTTTGGCCATACCCAAGCTTCCACTAATCTTAGGCAGAATAAGTGCAAACATCTAAATTTAAAGATGCAAACAATCTAAATCGAGTGGCTCCCAAGGAAGAAAGATGGTAATTACTATATGCTACATAAAGCTTGACGTGATTATACCGCCGAAGGACAAATGAAACACTGTTGCATAAGTTGGGATCCGAAATTTTAGTTTTTGATTTGGTGCATGTAGTGTTGGACCAATATGGTCTTTGCTTGTTATTTTTCCTATGCAAATGAACTGGCAAACAGAAGCAACTTGATGTACACGAAGAGAAGTCAAAAAGGGTAAAACTGAAGTTAAATGGCCATGTCATTTAAAGTTGAACCCAAAAACAAAAGTATCCCATTTTTACACCTTCAAAGCTCTCAAACTTCAATTTTTTACACTAAAAATTAAGAAGCAAAAGTTCACCGTACTATCGTTGAAGCCTCTGCCGCTTGCCAATCGAAAATTGGTGGTCAATGCCGGAAAGCGAAGCCAACATCCTTGCATTGTTCAGGCGTGAAATGGAAGCACCACCATTGTTGAAGTTCAACATGGAAGCCGAACATGTCTGCGAAAAGCCGCAAGACATCTCAGGATATGATGCCGAGTTGATTGGCTTATGGACAACATAACTAGTATTTCCCACTGGTTTCTGGTTGAAGCTTGCAGCAGCTTCACAGCCTTTGATTGAAACAGGTGGGATTTTGAAGGGCTGCAAAGGCGGGGGGTTTCGCCAACGAGGCATTGGCCCAGCAACAAGAAGAGTCTCGAGCAGTGGACCGGCTTCCATCACAGTCTGCAAGAGCTTTCCCTGTTCAGGCAAAATCTTTCCTTTCACAAAGTTGTCAATCACTTCAGAAGCCGGGTCGGGTTTGATCATCCCTGAAGAGACTACACCAGCAGATACAGTACCATTATATTCTTGCACCCGAGGCTGGTGCTTCACAAAAGGAATGCAGCCAGATTCAGCCATGTTTATGTTCGAAAACTCGGGTGAAGAAACTGCATCGAATAAGGAGTCCACAGAGGAAGAAACATGCGATTTTTGGGGATTGTAGGTTTCAGAGAGGCTGTTGGATTCAGTTATGCTCGAGTTTGCTCTGGTGGGAAGCAAAAGTGTACTTTCATGAGGAAACATGTTGAGTGGGAGTTCCATTGGACCTGAAGGCATGATCTTGTTTACCAGCTTTCGTAGCTGATCTACGGCATCATCTCTCTCTTTGGACGCAACGTTTAGAAGATTGACTAGTTTCTCCACATTCTCCTCGCTTTTTCGGATTTCATCCGTTGCGCGTGTTTTTACGGATTCTAGCTCAAGGGTTGTGTACAGAAGCTTCTCCTTCAACTCATCAGCGCTCTGTCAATTCAAAACAGGATTCAAGAAATGAGTTTCAATTCCATCAAAATAATAAAATTGAACCTAGAAAAAAAAAATAACAATTCTAAACATAGTAGAATCCGAAAGAATACATAAGCTCATATCATAACACGTGAATTAATAACAGGTGCGACTATCACACTCAAAACATTTTCGAGACCAAACAAACCAAAATAAACATCCAAGGTTACAGGTTCAAACTCAAACATGAACACCAAACCCACCAATTCTCAAACAGGTAACTAAGGGAGGATCAAAAGATTCGGAACAAAATCATGGTGGAAAACGGAAAGCAACTATTTCAAAGGTTAGGAAGACAGTGAAATCCCAAAAAGGGCCCATGAAAATCCCACGTCCTGGTCAACAAATCCTGCTTATCTTTTTGAAGAAAAGAGAAAAGGGAGCGTGAAAAAAAAGGGTTAATATATAAAGAAACTCCATTAAAACCTACCCCTGTAACCGAAATCAGAGAACTGGGTCCATCAATACTACAAACACATTGGTTCTCAAATTCTGCATATTCTGTTCATCACATATATTAATAGAAGAGGTACACATTTACCATAGTTTTTATAAAGAAAAAATTAAAGCCAATTAATTGACATATGAATTTTTTGAATACCGACGTAAGTTAGGTCAGTTAGACAAGACAACGTGGCCGCCTTTTGTTTGAATTCCGTGCATGAAGATTAGAATATTTCCTAATAGAAACGTCGTGTTGTGGAGAAAAACAAAGAAAACAAAATTTGCATTCACAAGAACGATGACTCTTAATGAGACTGCAGAACTTGCGTGCCAAGTACAAATTAATGTTTCATAGAGACCAAAAATTCGGACTTTAATGGTTGAATTCCTCTCAGATATGGAAGATCCATCACTAACAATTAAATTCACATAAAAAAACCGAAAAACGAATCGAAAGAGGCAATGAAGGGAAGCATTTGCAATTGCATGTGAGAATAATACAGCATGAAGTAGAAAAGCCACCATAAAAACACACAATTGAAGCAGAAAAAGCAGCAAACTTTGATGAAACTGCAGCAGAAAAAAGAACCCAACAAAAAGTGGCACTCAGAAGAAGAATGAGGAGAGACCCACCTCAGGGTAAGTAGTCCACAGAGAACCCGGTTCCTCCATTGGAAGAGTTTCAACCTCTCTGGTGAGAAAAGTGGAAGAAGGGAGGAGGAAAGGAAGAGGAAAATCAGAGAATTAGGAGTTAAGGTAGGGTGGGAATGTGACACATTTATAGATGGAAAATGAGGCAAATAAGACAATAGAGAGAGATGGCTTTTTCACAAGGATCCACAAAAGCCCCCGACCAAATTAAAAAAAAAAAAGAAATTATTTAATTAAATTAATTTTTTTAGAGGTTCCAATTAAAATTAATTTCATTCAAACTTTTTCCACTCTTTCAGGACCTGTGTCTTACCCAAAATTTATATTCTACTTTTTATAAGAAAATTCTGAACGTTTTTTTTAATGATTTTTCACTCTCGTTTTCTCCTTTTGTATTCTTTTTTTATTATTGTTTAATACCTTAAATTTACCTGGATTACCTAGTCACGAGAATAGGTGTACCGTGTACGTATAGGCTAAATTCGAGGTTCAAAACTCTCAATTGTAACGAAAAAGAAAATTCAAGTTAATCCATCCAAAACTTAAAAATCATTTAATTTATTTCCCTCTTTTTTCTAAAAATAAAAAAAAATGAAATAAAACTTCCCACTCAATTCTCAAATGATTACAGAAGCTTTGCTGTTTTTTTGAGTGGAGGATTTTACGCGGTTTTACTTTGTTTGTATATGGTAACTTCCCATAAATACCCCTTTTTAAAATGAAATATTTCCTCCGGCGGCTCACCATGTCTTGATGAGACGTGTTTTTGTATAGCGGCGGAGCACAATGAGGGTAATGCGCCTGCATTATTGGTTTTTTTTTTTTTCTTCTTCTTATTAAACGATATATTTGGTTAGATTTAATGTTATATTAGTCACCGATAGAATTTCAATCTATATCATCATACAAGAATTTAACTTATTTTCATTATTGTGGTAAAAAGTTACATGCTACCTCCATTATTGGTTGATAATGGCAAGATTTATTTATTTTTTGACTTATTTTTAGTTATGTCTCATGAACTTAATTCTAATTTCACTATAACTCAAAAGTCATCACTTTATACTTTCAAAATCAAAGTTCGCTATACTTTGCCACTTGGAACTCGACTTTGATTTCATTTTACCACTTGAAACTTGAAAGTCGTCTCTATAAAACTCAAAATTCACTCCACATTGTCCTTAGATTTGCTAATTTCTTATGTGAGTTTGATTTGGGTGCTCCAAGCTATTTTTTTATTTTTTTCATCCCTTCAATTTCTCTTCAACTTACTATTCTTTGATTGTTGAATGTTAATGCATAATGAAGATTTATAATTAAATTTACTACACATGTAACATAGGCTTATTGGGTGTTCGATCTCACATATGCTTTCGGAGACAACCTATAGTTTCAAAGATGAGAGAGAGTCCAAAAGTTAAAATGAAACAAATTTTGAGTTTAAAAAATAAAGTGGTGACTTTTAAGTTCCAGCAATAAAGTGAGATCAAAATAGAACTCCTAAAAATAAGCCAAAATTTTCTGTTCAAAGGAAATTTATTTTAGGACAGGATTTCCTGACCAATCAACGGTGAGATGTTTGCGTCGTTTCTCATTAGGATCAGCTTTCAAATTATTTTCATCTTTAGAAAGTTTATCGAAATATTTATTTGGCTGCATTCCAAAAAGGAAATCAACAAAAAGTTACCCCCCCCCCCAATTAATAGAAAGGGATTCCCTAATTTTAATGTGAAAATTTAATCCCTAATTTAAAAGTTATTTAATTTAGATCATTTGTAATGAAGAGAGCTAAAAAGCAAAAATATGGTCTTATTTGGACAAAACTCATATCAGTGGGCCCAACTAATATGGCCTAAAGGCCATCAGATTGGCCAAGCTTGGCGTGATACCTAGCCCGTTTGCTGGGGCCTAGTAACAGCAGCTGCAGTCTGTTTATAGATTCAACGGTCACTTTTGAAAGAATCTAACGATCATATTTGAATCTCCAACAGCTACTTGTATACTATTTTCTTTTCTTCTTCTTTTTTTTAATTCAAAAAGTTCCTAACTTTTTCCTATGAATACCCATCCCATTTCTACACCATTTCTCATACCCTCTTAATCCTTAAAAATCATAACTAAAATATTATTGAGAATATATAAAGATAAGAAATAAAATAATATATAAATATTATTGAGAATATATAAAGATAAGAAATTTAGATGGAGATGGCCTTATGGGACTCTAGTTTAACGGCTAATCCTACTTTTACATGCTTCAAATAAATTATTTTATTTTGCCAAATCACATCATTATATATAGGTTATTATTGCTCCCATTTTATGAGCTAAAAAGGGTGATATGTGTGTTTATTTTAACTATGATTTTATTTGGTACGAACTTTATGGGATTATGAGTTTAATTAAGTGAATCCTTCAAGATTAGTAGGTGATATTATGCGTGTTTATCTAAGTGGATATTAGAGGGTGAGATTATCAGTCTAAGTGGATCCCGTCAAGATTGAGGGTTAAAAATGTGTTCGTATCCATAATACATGAAACATGAAAAATTAAGATTTTGAAAAATAAAATATTATATGAAACCAATATTAGTTTGTAGTTTGCAATTGCAATTTGTCTTCCTTATATATTTTTATGTACTTTTGTTAGTGCAATATAAATGCCACCATGACACAATCTTGCAGTGTAACGTACGCAAACTATCTGTTTGGGTAGTGTTCTTCACACACTTATTTTCACTTTTCATACAACTTTGTTAATTTTTGTCCATTGATCTTCTTCAATTCATTCAATCTAACGATCAAAAATTGAGACGGATGTATGAGAAGTAAAAAACAGGTGTATGGATAGAACCACCCTCTTTTTAATGCTATTATATGAAAATTTTAGGGTGGTTCTATCCGCACACCCCTTTGTATCTCTCACACATCATTTTCAATTTCCTGTTGTTGGGTCCAATGAATTGAATAAGATCAACATACATAAATTAACAAGGGATGTGTCAGAGATAAAAATAGGTGTGTGGATAGGATCACCCAAATTTTATTTACAAAAAATAGTCTAAAATTCACGGGCAATTGTGTTTTTGTTTATAAAAAAAAAAAAATACAAAAAAAGGGGTTAAGTTCGAAGCCTTAGTACAACAGAAATCAACTAAATCAAATATACAGCAACAAAAAATATTTAATAATGACATCACCAAGAAAGTTCGTCTCTTTATAAATATATCTCTGAAAAAAAAAAAGAATTGAATCAATGAGATATGATACAAATATCTGTCAAAATTATTGTATAAATTTTTTTAATATAGCGATACATTTACATTAAAAAATGGAGAGTATAGTTTAAGTCCCATGTGACCGGGACAATGACAGTAGAGATACATTTGTTCACTTACCTTGAATATCAATTTTCCACCTTGAATGATTGATGAATCATAAAATATATGTACTCATTTAAAATTTGGCTTTTCGTTTTGATGGTTATTATATTATGAAGGATGGACCCATATATTATCTTAATTTCTAGGGTTGTACTAGATTTCCATGTGAACTGCCCGAGGAAACTGAAATAAACAACATAACGGTTGACTTAGTATGCTTCTTGATTCAATTTCTAGGGTTCTACGTTGTAACTTCTACGATTTTAGTGCCTAAACCCTGTACTCTTAAGTTTTAGGTTCACCATTACCAATATGAAGAGATTCAATATATATATATATATATATATATATATATATATATATATATATATATATATATATATATATATATATATATATATGTCGAAGAGAATCACGATTATTTTTCCTTAGGCTTAATCATTCATTTTCATTTAAACATACTAAACTCTGAAAGATTTACTAGCATTAATTATTCATGCATATATGAGCGACTTTTTTGTTCTTTAAATGTTGTAAGCATTTGAAGTTGTAAAACTGTGCGTACATAAACGGTTGAATTTAAGTCATCAATTGGTACGTGACATGCTATGAAACTCATATTTTCTAACAATGTACCCATGGGTTGGCTTTGAGGGAGTGCAGGTGGTGCACCCGCATAAGACTCTCGATTTTGAAGGTCCTGAAGTTTTTAAGGTAAATGTAGGGGTGTGCTATCCACACACCCTATTTTACTTCTTACACACTCCTTGTTAATTTATATCCATTGATTTTCTTCAATTTATCTGACCCGACGGCTGAAAATTAGAAGGGTGTGTGAAAAGTAAAATAGGGTGTGTGAACATCGCACCCCTAAATATATTATATATAAAGGTATCCGTACCCATCAATTAATATGAAATTTACGTCAACTGGTGGTTATCAGTCGTTTGAAGTAATAAAACACTTTACATGTTAATATTAGAATCTTAATTAGTTAGATTTCCATTTGGACATGGTGTGGATCCAGATATATAGCATATTATTTGTAGGATTTATATTCAAGTTAAGAACAAAACCAACCTGATAAACCTCTTTCTGACAGAGACAAAGGCACAATGCACATGGATGATTTCCCCAGGAATTCCATTGAAAAGACCACAATATTTCTTTCTTTATCCCGACAAACGGTTTCGGCACTCTTTCATAATTTTATATCAAACACAATAACTTCACCCTTGTGATAATATTAATTATAGCATTATTCCTTAATCCGTTGAGATTAAGAAAATAAGTATGCATGTACCACACAACCAGGCAGCGAGAAATGTTTTGGTATTCCCACAATGTTATTCTAATTGTTGGATAGTTTACTTGATTTCTTGCTTATTGTTGACGGTTCTCGTTGAACTTGAAAAAGGACAAAAATTCTAAATTTAAAAATGTTTTGGTTTGGGACAAAGGCTACTGCATTAGAAACATTTGATCTCTTTGATTCAATGTATCTGGTTTGCTTATACGTGTGTACATGTATTTGTTTTGTTCTTTAATCTTCGCTTTGTGGTTTCGGCACCTTCACTAGTTGACCCTTTAATTTTATATTGTTATTAAGATTTATGTTGTTAAGACTAAAAATGATCTAACATTGTAGCTTAGGATTTATCTAATCGACAAAAGTCTTAAGAGCAAAACTTATCTATTAGTCGTTCGCATTTAATAACACACACAGATAAAGCACGATACATATTGTATTGAGTTTAC